ATATTTCATGTAGCCCTTTCATATTTCATGTTGCCCTTTCATATTTCATGTAGCCCTTTCATATTCCATGTTGCCCTTTCATATTTCATGTTGCCCTTTCATATATTCATGCTGCCCTTTCATATTTCATGTTGCCCTTTCATATTTCATGTTGCCCTTTCATATATTCATGCTGCCCTTTCATATTTCATGTAGCCCTTTCATATTTCATGTTGCCCTTTCATATTTCATTTCTTACTTACATGTCATGTCACGTTGCACTTCACATTTCATTCTGTACGTTCATATTTCATGTTGCACCTTCATATTTCATTTCTTACTTTCATATTTTGTTTTGCATTTTCTTACATGTACTTTCATATTTCATTTTGTACTTTCATATTTCATGCAGCCCTTTTATATTCTGTTGCACTTTCATATGTCATGTTGCACTTGTCATGTCATGTTGCACTTCCATATTCATGTTGTTTGTTTGTTGTTTAACACCGCACTCAGCTATATTCCAGCTATATGACGGCGGTCTGTAAAATAATCGAGTCTGGACCAGACAATCCAGTAATTGACATCATGAGCATCGACCCACGCTGTGTTTTCATGTCATGTTTCACGTTCATATTTCATGTTTCACTTTCATATTTAATATTGCACTTTCATGTTCCATGTAACACTTTCATATTTCATGTTGCACTTTCATATTTCATGTTGCACTTTTATATTTCATGTTGCACTTTCATATTTCATGTTGTCCGTATTGTTCATATGCTGCCTTCGTAGACATTTTTCTTCTATTGTCCATGCACTGCCTTCATATTATACGTTTTATATCTCCTACGTTGCCTTCATACTTGCTTCATTTATACAACTACATGTATATCAATTCCAAAATATTCCAATTGTTGATGTTTTATTATCCACCTTTCTTGACAATGCTGACAATGTGAAACATTTTTGGTTATTTTCTGGTAAATAAAAATAACATCCATTGACAGTTTCAGATGGAATTCTGAATATCAAAATTAGCTAAAAAAAGAAGCATCAATTCATCAAAGTGAATGACACCTGGTTTTGTTTTCCATTTCCAACAAGCAAAGAACAATTCAAAGCAAACAATGTAACAAAATTGTCAATGACTGAACAGTCAAATTATATGACCAGACACTAAACAAATATGAAAAGGTGTCGTGGAAACATTGACTGCAACTGATGGGCATCTTCTCTGTTAATGGCAGAAATGGGCTTCACACAATGTACCCATGTGGGGAATAGAACCAGGTGTATTCGGCATAATGAGCTAATGTTTTAACCACTAGGCTACCCCACCATCCTACCCCACCATCCTTCCCCACCATCCGTCCCAAACATCCTACCTCACCATCCTCCCCCACCATCCTTCCCCACCCCAGAATATCTAATGATGGGTCCATAAAGCTAACAACATGGAAGACAATACAAAATATGCTTGGATGACAACAAGAATATTCTCCTCCAATGAGAAGAAATAGGAAGATATAAAATACAAAATATAGACTGTAAAATAGACTACATTTGGAGGAAAGTTCCAATCTTTCCCTTAAGGCATACAGGTTAATACAGGTATATAAAGAACTTAAAATATAAGAAAAAATAAAGCAATTTTCACAGATTCATAGACAAAAATTAAGGTTAAAATGGGATGGATCTTAAAAAGCAGTGGTAAGGCAGATTTGCCTTTGTATCAAACTAGAAGCTGAGACAATCAAGTCATTAAGGAAAAACACACCTGTACATTGCACAAGAAACCTGTATTGAACATATGGGAGAAACTTCTATAACCTATGCACCTATCAATGTCAAGTCTAAAGTATTCTCAAATTAACATATTTGAATAAACACTGTTAGAATTGTCTTACAATTAAGGATTGTCTTACAGTGTGGGTGTGTGTGTGTGTGTGTCTGCGTCATTCATTACCACTCGCCCCTTTCCGTAACCTGCAAGAAGACTCGTCCCCCTATCGATTAATGTTATGTGCAAAAATACGACAAACCAATCAGAATGCGCGTATGATTTCAAGTTCTTCGTCAAAGAATCCCTCAGAAATATTTTTCGATTTTACATATGTCTTGCATCTAAAAATATACCCAAGACACAGTGAAATGTGTTCGATCATACTGTATAATTCCGCACGTCCCGATGTGCTTAAAGTTGTATCTGAAATATATATAATATATGGGGAAATAAATATGCACCATTACGCAACGAGTTGACAATTGTTGTAGGTATGCCTGTTTGCACTAAGACGGAACCCAGTCGCAAAAATGGCCATAAGAGGGGCACGAGTCGCTATTCAGCTTGTCCCGGAATAACACGAGTTGGTCACGCATGTGTCTGTGTGTGTCTGGTTTAATGCCGCACTCAGCAATATTCCAGCTATATGATGTCAGCCTGTACATAATTTAACACACAACGGGTATGATGACATACAATCAACCAAGTCACCAAGACCGACCGACGAAGCTGCTTCTTGCGACCAGCATAGATTGCTGGGGACACATTCCAATCCAGGTGTCTGTTTCATTTTCTCGTTGGATAACATTTCAATGGTACATGGACTGTTGAGAAACAAACTCGTCACATTCCGGGTTTTACAGATGAACTAGGGTGTATGTACTACACAACGTTTCCTAACTGTACAGGTACTTCAACTCAATGATACATCAAATGAAAATAGTATCAAATATGAACAAACTGTGTAGTACATATCAATATCAGTAAATCTGAAACAATCTCAGTTGCCATGAGATTGAAATAGAACAAAATTTATAAGTAAACTTGATGTTCAAAATGTGTTTGTTTCCATCACCCGGATCATCATGCTACAGATATTGTTGGACTTTTCAGCCTGACAATTGAGGTGATTACTTTCTCTCTACTTACACAGAACCAACTTTTCAGTGACACTGATACAAAGTACGGTACAACCATTAGCCTTGAGCATTACAAACAAGTCTCGGCTATGTTCATAGTGATGTTCATAGTGATGTTCATGGTGATGTAGATGGTAGATGGTGGTAGTTCCCCAGCTTTTGAGTGAGTGAGTATGGTTTTATGCCGCTTTCAGCAATGTTCAAACAAAATCATGGCGGGGGACACCAGAAATGGGCTTCACACATTGCACCCATGTCGGGAAATCGAACCTGTGTCATCCACGTGACGAGCAATCGCCGTAACCGCTAGGCTACACCACCGCCCCCTGATGGTTTTGAATCATGGAGGTGTAGGACTACCATGTCAGACTCGGCCAGTCACGCCATGTTCGATTGTCAAACGCCCATGGATCTTAACAGTTTAGTTGAATTTAAGAAACTTGGAATAATCAAATTCAATAAACATTGTAAAAATGGACCCAACATTGTTTTCCTGTTCATGTTTCAGTTTCATGGTTTATAAAATCTAAACCAAAAAATTCATATTGACTCAATTTCAATAAGTAGTATAAATAAATGTTACAAGATAAGAAAAAAGGGGGCGATCCATCCACAAACTAAAACACAGCACAGCACACAGTTCTTTCTCTCACACTAAACTAACTCAAGATTTTAAACACTCAGGATGATCTTTGATTCAAACTTCAATAATAAACTGCTTTGAGTCTCCAATACACCAATGCTGTACGGAACATCCTCCACTGCTTGCATAGGCCTGTAGAACCACTAGAGTATCCATAGCAGCGTTTGCAACACTCAGCAATATTCCAGCTATATGACTGCATCTGTAAATAATTGATCTGCATCGATTTACGCAATAGAAATACGATGACATGCATCAACCAAGTCAGCGAGCCTGACCACCCGATCCCGAAAGTCACCTCTTACGACAAGCAAAGTCTATAGTAACTATAGTAATATGAAATAATCAGGTGGCCCTAATTTATCTGAGTAGTGTAGTATTTGAACCTAATTCTTGGACATAACAGAAACCTTAAACTTACAATTCAGGCCTCAAAGTTTAAATTTTTACCAAGTCCGTATGGCTACAAGTATTTTTTTCCAGGTAGCCAGTGGTAAAATTAAGAAGTCAAGCCAATAGTGTAGGTAGCAAAAAGCATTTGAAATTATCTTTGATCAAATAACTATTATTGTATATTAGTGGAAACTGTACTTGACTTTTGTTATTTGTGACTCGAACAATGATGCAATTTATGTCAGTAGATTATATAGGTATATCCTTGCTTATCCAATAAACTATCAACTAAAATAAAATACTAATTGCATTAATATTTATGTATTTCGGTTCATTTTTAACTTTAGGAGGAATTATTTGCGAGTACAATTAGTAGCAGACTTGTTTATTTTTGTGTCTAAATATGTGCAGCAATAGAATTTAGTCGCCACAAGATATTTTACAAGGTTGTCATTTGGCTACCTCTGAATTTTAGACAGTAGACAAATTGAAAATTAGGTCGCATTGGCGACCGTTTTAGTTGCAACTTTGAGGCCTGCTATTAACTCACACACTAGCTCCATTTCACAGAATCTAAATTGGTGTGAACACACTTCTAGCAGAATAGGTTATTTGAGTTTAAACACACACCAGACATTTCCAGACTCGTCAACCATTACGATAAAACCTATGTCCATGTAGCTGATACTGTAGGTCTGGAGACAGTTTCAGAACTGGGGACGAATAATCTCTACAAGCCAATATGGCTATTGAAGATCTATGTGTTAATAATTGTCAGTACAAAATCCATGAAAAAAATGTGGAGCAATGTTAAACTATAAAGTAAGAAAATCCTATATGTATGCATAAGAAAATACTATTATGATTCTACAATTATAATGCCAGTGATTTCTACTAGTCCCAATACCTCAACACTTGGGCAGTTTGGCAAGGACTATAGGACTTGCCCTAATTTCTAACGCTGAATGCCCACGTTCATATCTGATGCTGTGAACAAAATACTGCATAATATTAATAAAAAGCCAGAGACATAAAAAAGGGCTTTTTCACTTTTCTCTGATAATATTTTGGGTAAAAAATACCACTTCAATCAACTTTTTTCAAATGAATTAATTTAAATTGAGAGACAATGGAGCCATAACAATCCTTTGCTGAACTTGAGGATGGCTAAGCATACTTGATGTAAATATCAAACAACATATGTACAGTTGTTATAGAAATATAACACCACATTACCAATTACCATGGCAACATTATTATTATTACCTAGTAACATATATTACAATAATGGAATATTAAGTACTTTGAAGAGGTGTTTTGGAAACACTTCTGTGTTCAAGTCCATTCTGAACATGACCATTGGTGGGTTTAATGGCTCCATTGGTGGCTTTAACGTCACCATTGTTGTTCGATTCAGAATTTGTTTCAACAGCCTTCCCGTTGGTTGACTGCTTGTCTGTCTTTGGATTCCTCTTAATTCTGGAATAGGGCCCAATCTCAGGGTCAGTGATGAAGTCGTAGATGACCTTGACCCATGACCTATGACAGGGTAGATCGTCATAATACTCAGGTGCAATCTTCTTTACCTGAAAGTGAACAAGTTTTTGATAGATTATACATATTGCAGGATTTCTTGTGTTATATATAGTGGTACTGCGTTAAACATATGTAATATGTTTTGTTGTTATTTGTAGCATTTAACCTACAATTGACACCGAAATTCCTTCACAAATGATGTTTCCCTAAGAAACTGTTCGACAAAACAGATCCCATTGTGCATAAAAAGCAAAATAGTGGTGAATATTATATGAATGGATCACTGAAAATCGATGACATGAGGTGCTAGTTTCCAAACGTTGTGATTCACTTGATCCCTAAGTAGTCACATTGATCCGAATCCTTGTTGATCAGACAATTTATGAATTGATTATTTCAGAGCGAATCTAACAATCCAACTTTTCCATATGACACAACCCAAATGTAAATGACCTCTTTCAAAGCCAAGTGACCAATGTGCTAAAACCAAGTGACCCATGTGCTAAAACCAAGTGACCCATGTGCTAAAACCAAGTGACCCATGTGCTAAAAACTCCTATCCTGTTCCTGCAGTTGCGGTAATTATCAAATCTTACAATACAGTAGTGGTGGGACGGTACACCGATGCATCGATGGATTGCAATTTGTAACTGCTCGATACAAGTATCGATAACAGTTGCACACAAAGTAAAAAATATCAATTCTGACCTTAATTGTTTGCTTTAATAACAGTTCCACTAAACACTAATCAGTTGTGCAAGTTAATAGTGAAAACATACATATTTTCATTTGTTGTGCCTACTTCACACTGCTCAGTGTAAATCATCAGTGTGCCAGGTATTTGGCCATCCTGTCTATGAAAAAGATGGCTTACGCACCACAGATAGGAGCACATGCAATGCAAGTATTGTGATACATATCAGATCATGAGTAAGTTATGGTGATACAAATCGGATCGCACTGGTGGTGTATCGTCCCAGCCCTACAGTTAAGATCACTACACCACTTGTTTACTTTACAAGATTCTCGGATCTCCTGTAAGGACCCTTGCAATTAGTAAGTGGGGTCCCCTGGACCCCTAGTTTTGTAGGTCAAGGTAACACCCTGCATAGGAGTAATATTCACCTGTGGCAGGTTACATCCAGGGATGTTGGGGAAGTCGTGGTGTTCATTGTGGTAGCCGACATTGAAGGTGAGATAGTTGAGGCAGCCGTAGTAGGAGTAGGTCTCATAACCCTTGATGAACATGTAATGCTCCGAGATGAAGTGCCCAGCCAGCGGATGCATGCCCGTGGCCATTAAGGTCCCGGCCACCAAATACACCAAAGACTTTGCTCCAAAGAAATATGCAATAGCAGCGTTGAAAGAAAACTGTATGACAACATTAATAACCTCCAAGGTTGTCAGTGGCTTTGGGTAGACAAACAGAGGTCGCAGAGCATAGAACCAGGGCTGCAACAACACCCATATAAACTTGGTCATGGTGTTGGTGAAGAACTGCCCCTCCAGCTTGCAGGGGATGTCAACATCACGCATATCATCCCCCTGATACTTGTGATGCTCCAGATGGTACTTCTTGAAGGAGATGGACATCGGAATGCCGATTGGAAGATTGGCCCAGAATCCTAGTATTCGGTTTGCTAGTGGTCTACTATGTCCGAACGCCAAATTGTGAGAAATTTCATGGACGGCAAGTGTCAATGAGTGGTTGATGGTACCACCAAAACAGTAAGCCAACAACACCACAGTTACCCACGATGCATCTTGGATGAAGTACGCTGCTAGGATCTGCACCAGGACCATCAATGTCACAATGTACTTCAGGTTGGGATTAGTGCCCATCAACTTCTTTACCTGGGGATATTTGGCTGAAAACAGAAGCATGAGAAAGTTTTAGCTTGTTTTGTTAATTGTTTAAGTGAGTGTGTCAACTGATTTGCTGAACACTTAATGGGGATTCGGGCGGTCGGGTAGCCTAGTGGTTAAAGCGTTCGCTCGTCACGCCGAAGACCCGGGTTCGATTCCCGACATGGGTACAATGTGTGAAGCCCATTTCTGGTGTCCCCCGCCGTGATATTGCTGGAATATTGCTAAAAGCGGCGTAAAACATACTCACTCACTCACTCACTCACTTAATGGGGATTCAGTTTTGAAATTTTACTCAGAAATATAGATCTTCATCTTTACAAAATAACACTTCTGTGATGATGAGTTGTCAAAAGGAAGACCTAGGTTTGCTCTCGTCTCAAAGAGATCAGTGAACAAATGGACACCATAGGGACAGAAGGGTGTCATGGGATTTGGAAAAGTACATACTTTTCTAAATTTTATTTTCTACTTAATATATACATGGCATAGAGCAATGAATTAAAAAAATTACATATATTTGATATACACCTCACATCAAATCCAAAATGGTACATATGCAAAAATCAGGAAGATGGATATCACTGGTGAAATGTAACCTACAGGTTATTTCATACATGAGGTTGGGGGGCATAAATATATTTGGGCAGAAACAACAACCTTAAATTTTATTACAGACAGAATTAGGTGGCCTCTTAGCTGTGTCTACCCTTGACCTGCATTGTGCTAAAGGATTATGCTATACTTAGGCCTTCCATAGCTCTGTACAAACACACTGTTGTCATTCCACTTTAACCTAGCATTGTAAAGTATCCTTGCAAAACAGATTACAAATCCTCATTCAAAATGATCTCACCTTTTCAAGCAGTACATATTTCATGGGTATCATATTTATTGAGGTTTTTTCACGAGGGCTGATAATGTGTAAACTCGAGCAGCTCTTCAAATGTTCAAATATCATAAACAGAGCTCCAGATAAGTTGCGTATCTGCGTAAAATACGCATCAGAAATGCAGAAATACACAGTAAAATCAAATCCAAGCGTATCAAATACGCAACGAACATTTCAGATACGCTACAAAAATAAAACTTGTGCGTATCATCAAAATATTGTGAAGTAACCCTGCGTATTCAATTAGCAAATCAGCAACTTATTTTGAAATTATAAACGGGCATTCCGACAACATTGCCAAACTCCACGATGACAGTTACATCATGATCATTTGCCATCACACTTTCTTGTGGAAGTATCGTGGTATCGTCCTATAAAGCTCTCGAACCCACACGACACCAGTTTGCAGGGACTAGATGAATAGTGTTTTTAAATATCTAACTTAAGTACCCACATGTGTACAAACTAGTGGGTAACAGAAATTTGAATACCCAAATAGAATTACTGATACCCAATGATTTTAAAATGCATGGGTAAAATACCCACAACACCAAAAGCTTATCTGGAGCTCTGATAAAGGAGACATTCATCTGTACACACGACACTGGTCGACTTTCTAGATCAGAGTACAGGAGGAAGAGTGGAAAGAACACAAGCCTAGTACACAAACAGCAGTCTGTGCAAACTAAAGCTTTATCAGGGTTTTAGATCGGCCCATTTGCCAGAAGACTAGTTGTCATCCTAAATGTCCTGAATGTTTTGTTCAAAAGCGCTAATAGATGAGTTAGAGAGTATGCTTTTTAGCAACATTCCAGCAATACCACAGCGGGTGACAACAGAAATAAGTTTCACACATTGTAGCCATGGTGGGAATCGAACCTGGCTTTGGCTTGACAAGTGAACGCTTTAACCACTTGGCTATTCTGCCGCCCCGTGATTTAAAAAAATGTCCTATCAAAGTTAAAATCAATGAAATGTCCTAACACCATGCGCCTCTATTAAAGTCACTGTATATCTGACTTAGTTAGTTTTTTTTCCGCATGTACCACTAAGACAACATTCGAAAGTGATACTAGTTTTAAAAAAAATTCTCAATGATTACTTTCATATACTATATTCAACATATTAATATTTCTGGGTGCTCAGGACATGTAGAAAAGGGTTTTCTTATGGTGTGGATTGTTGCTCATGTCACAGGTCTGTCCAAACTATAGCCACTTTGACATCACGGGAATGCAATGTAACACTCAGTCACTGATTGCAAACTGTATATCTATCTATCTATCTATCTATCTATCTATCTATCTATCTATCTATCAATCAATCAATCAATCAATCAATGCCACATGGCCAATAGTACAACTGTAAGTTAAATTATATTTAGGTCACAAGTGTGACATCTCCATGATCTCTGTTGATCTCATTTTAAATAATTTACATATTTATAAAGCTATCAAGCATGACAGTACCTAGACAGTATGTAACAACACACGCTACGACACAGGTACCTAGACAGTATGCAAATCTACAACTCACCAAATCAATAACATTGGTTCAGAAACCATCTGGTATCCATAGCAACCATTTGAATCAATATCTGTCCTTCACAAGGTTGTGTCATGTTTATATTTCTCTGTCAATCAATCTCTCACACATCACTTCCTAACTGGATTGGGGACAGACTTGTGACAGCATTATCGCTAGTGGTGTAAAGATATGCTGATATAGTATTGTACCGCAATACAAGACCCATGATACAATTCCTGTATCATGATACATACAATACAATTCATTGCAAGTTGTATTGGTGTAAAAACATGTAAATAATAACAGACTCTCACACTTATGCAGACTCTAGTATTTCATGGTTGGACATACAGTACAACATTCACAGCGCCATCTAGCCAATATATTTCTCTCCTACAATATCCCATCTTTGATATATATTTCTGAAATTTAATAACAAATGTTTTAGAGATGTGATTCATTCCAACAAGAAAGAATAATAACTTGTCAGTTGAATTGTATCGCACCCACAGTATCAGGATACGTTTGTATCATGACCCCACCGTATCATTACACCTCTAATTATCACACCTATCAAAACGCGAGACAGATATTTCACTGACAGCATTATCACACCTTTCAAAACTGGGGATAGACATTTCAATCTATCTACATCACTTCCTCATTGGTAACAATGGACAGACACTTCCCTGATAGCATTATCACACATATCACAACTAATCCATAATATTGAACCTGATCTATAAACCAACAGTAAACATTCTGTGTCCATGACTGCACTGATCAAGGCCAATTATGATTAATAAATCCCTCAGCGTCCAGCCAGTCACCATGTCCCGTAAAGTTGCCTAGTGGTGGCTGTAGGAAATATCCCTGTCATGCCGGTGTAATCGGTTTCACACCAGGCCTGCTCCCATTGCCATAAACCATACCACACCTGTTGCAGTTCTGTATAACTGGAACACAACAATCCATATTCTCAACACCCACTTCCCAACAGGACTCTCCCAAGTGATTTAACAGCCTGCATTTGTCATAGAGTTGGTCAGTCGTGTACAGAGGTTTTATTTGTGTATCTGCTGAGCATTGTTTGTTGAATTAGTGATATACCGGTAAACATGGGTATTTACCACGACATGTACATAAATCTAAGTGTGAATTTTCTTAAATACAGCCAGCACCATGGCTGCAAGCCTAAACAATCTACCGGTACTTCATTTCTTAAAGCCCTGGCTTAATCTTTAAAACAAAAATAAACACTTTTCACGTTTAATATGTGTTAATTCAAAAACATGTTCAGTCAAATTCATATTTCACAGTTATCAGAAGTTTGTTTGTTTGTTCATGTTGTGTGTTGTTGTTTGGGGGGTTCGTTTGTTTGTTTGTTTGTTGGTGGTGGTGGTTGTTTTTTTTACTATGTAAGATGCCAAAATCCTAGTTCTTCAAAATAATATTAAATTACCCAGAGTGCTCCAGTAAGTGAAACCATATGGTAAACACCATAAATTTGCGGCACATGTAACAACCCTTTTGAGGTATCAAACCCAGATCTTTGGCCTGATGAGCCAACAAGTCAACCACAAGGCTACCCCACCCCATCTATTCATGCTATTGTTTGCTGATGATGTTAAACTTGTATCAGTTACTGTGGTAGGGCTTCAAAAGCAGCTGAATATCTTAGAAAAATTTACAGATGAATGGAAACTTACAGTAAACCTAGATAAAACAAAAGTGGTTGTGTTTAGCAGAGGTGGTCAACTTGCTAAGTCCGAAAACTGGTTTTACAAAAACACCCCAGTTAGTCTTGCAGATGAATATAAATACCTGGGCATTTTATTTACTAAGACTTTGAATTTAGGAAAAACTGTCCACAATTTAGCTGTAAGGGCCAAGAAAGCAATGGTCATGTTACTTACCACTGTATCTAAATTAGAACCTGTTCCACCTAGAGTTTATTTTAAGCTATATGATGCCCAAATACAGCCATCCTTTTATACGGCTCAGAACTTTGGGGTTTTAAAAAATATGAACCAATAGAGAAAATACATTTATATGCATGTAAAAAGTTTTTGAAGACAGGAATAAACACTCCAAACTGTATGGTTTATGGTGAATGTTGAAGATATCCGATGTACATTAATGCATATATCCGTTGTTTAAAATATTGGTATAAAATTCTAGAAATGCACGAAGACTGCCTGCCTAGAAAAGCATACAAAATGCTGCTTAATCTTGACAATCATGGGTACACAACATGTGCATCAAATATTCGTTATATGCTATTTTATCATGGTTTCGGTTATTTGTGGTTGTATCAAGGTGTCGGTAATAAACATGATTTTTTAAGATTATTCGATAGAAAGTCACTAGATATGTTTCAGCAGGATTGGAGATCGACACTTGAAAATAGTTCAAGATATGTCATGTATAGATCTTTTAAATCGTTGATTGAACCTGAATTGTATTTAAATGTTATAACACACAAATCTCTTCGCATAAATTATTCAAGATTTCGTCTCGGATTGTCTGAAATAATGGTTAATATTGGACGACATCGTTCTGTCCCGAAGCCAATGAGATTGTGTCCTTTCTGGCAAACTTGTATAGAGGATGAACTTTATACACTGCTTGTTTGTACTGTTTATACTGATTTAGGGAAGCATATATTCCACAGAAATACCTGCGTTTATCAAATTTGTATTCATGTAAATCTGTTGAATTCTAATGATAGAAAAACAATTCTGAGGTTAGCACTTTTTGTTCATCATGCACTTTCTCGGCGCAAGAATCTTATAGTATCGGGAAGTCACTTCGTAAAATAATTGTGTACACCCACTTTGTAACATTGTCTCCACATATGTATTGTATGCAGCACATCCCTTTAGCTGTGTTGTACTCACGGTTATTATCTCTTTGTACTCTTGTTTTGTATATGGGCCGGAGGCCTTAAGTACAATAAAACCTCTTGAACTTGAACATAAAGCAATTCATGCAGTGATAGTTACAGACAGAAAAACATTCCAGAGGGCCATGCTGACCTACCTATGTCTCAAACTCTTACAATACTTGGGTATAGTGTGTAGCTGGGAGTATCTGGGTCAAAATGTGATGACTCAACATTTTGACTATTTTTTCAAAAGCCAGTGTTTGTAATCATTACTATATTTGGCATTACACGAGGAGAGAGACATGCAACTACACCTGATGGATTTCAAATTTTCTGTTCAGCCATCCTATACTGCATGTATTTTCATACATATCACTACTCTAGCACTAGCAGTAGGCCTTCAACAATGTTCAAGGTTAAATGCTATACCAGGAATCCCAAAATGGGGATTTCAGATCATTCAAAAAACTATTCTTTCCTTTGATTACCTATTTCAAACTGAATGAAATACAATGTGTAATATTGTTTGCAGTAAAGGGTAATGTGCTAAATAAATAAATTTGTGGATTAAAAAAAAAGCCATTAACAAGTCGATATGAAAAGAATTTTCTCAAGACACCTTGAAAGAAGTTTATATTAAAAGACAGAAGCAAGAATATGGCTCCTATTCATGACACAAGCCAAGAACCAGCAAACTCACAACTAGAATATTGTTCACGGCTCAGTGATTCAGACTGCTTGGGGCCTGGGTCATTGACCCCTGGAAGTGGAATGCACTCTCAATTTCTGGTCATCTTTCCCAATGAATTTTTTAACCTGGTGCACCTGTGTTGTAAGGCTTGGACAAGTAACTGGGTACTCAGGTCGGGTGGGTCCTGAGTAGGACCGGCAGAGCTCCAGATAAGCTTTTGGTGTTGTGGGTATTTTACCCATGCATTTTGAAATCATTGGGTATCAGTAATTCTTTTTGGGTATTCAAATTTCCGTTACCCACTAGTTTTTACACATGATGTAACTGTCATCGTGGAGTTTGACAAGGTAGATGAAATGCCCGTTTATAATTTCAAAATAAGTTGCTGATTTGCGAATCGAATATGCAGGGTTACTTCACAATGATACTTCACAATGTTACTTTTGATGATACGCACAAGTTTTTATTTTTGTAGCGTATCTGTAATGTTCGTTGCGTATTTGATACGCTTGGATTTTATTTTACTGCGTATTTCTGCATTTCTGATGCGTATTTTACGCAGATACGCAGCTTATCTGGAGCTCTGACCTGGGTATTAGGGGTGAAATGATACAGCAAGGTCACGATACAATACGTATCACAATACCATATGTATCACAATATGCATATTTACGTCAAATCGTGTGGAACGCCTTGACTAAAAATATTGAAAACTGACAATGTACCGATGTATCGTTTCACACCTACCGGGAATCTACAGGATAATCATGTCATGTGACAATTAAAACAAAACATGGTTACACGACACATTCACATTTCTTTCTGACTATGCACATAGACCTTCTGACATTTATATGTTTGAGTAAAGATAAGTGTCAGTCAACTTCAATGTATATGATACATGATCAGATCATCTAGGTGTATCCAAATAGTTTTTGATTACAACAATTAACAGTCGGACATGTTGTACGGTACCCAACTTGAGACCTACAGCGGGTACCCGGGTAAGTTCGCGTAACAGGGGGTCAGGTACCCGGTAGTAAATTTGCACTTGTCCCCGTCCTAATGACGGTGTTCGCCATCAGTGACAAAACCATCAACGTGCAGGTAGACTGGTCTCTAAGCCAGATGAATTCAACTTATCAAATATAAGAAAGGACACAGATGAATGCAATATACGGGGTCCAGTTGAGTTACTGAGAGTACTTATATCTGATATTGGATTAGAGGCGACTTCTACCCGCTGACACGTTCGACGTGTGTCTGCATGAAGCGCCTTGCAATCACGATCAAGGCAATTATGTAACGTTTCCATTCTCAGCTGATTTCCAAGACTAAAGGTTATATTTACCGTTAGTGTTGGAATACATAACAAACAGATCTATTCCTTTCTGATCGGAATAAATTCAGTGGTATGACTGAACGCACGATCACATAGCGTGCATTGATGAAAACCTGTGAACCTGTGAAAGGGATGCCGGTCGCATCTCAACTCGATGGTGCAAGCAATGCATCACGAATTTCTCACCTAGGATTTCCTTCCGTCTCGTTGCATGAGGCTCCTCGGTATATGACCATTCGTAATCCGTTCTTGATACGTGAGCACCCATGGTTGTGCTCTGGTTGTGTGCAAGATTTATCTACGACCTTCCCACTAGCGCAACTGTCAGATATATGTTCGTCGACACGAGCCCCTTCCTTAATACGTCTCAGTACGCCTATGAGTAATGGGGGATTTAATAATTACTTCCCTTGATCGTAACCGAACAGCTAGTCTAGTCAATCGGGGTTTGACGTCTGTGCTTATTCAGGTTTATCGGGCCACATGAGTTCGTGGATATGAATATTCATTAATACCACGTGATTAGTTCGGGCGGGATCGGACAATTCCGAAAAGGAAGAAATGAGCCAATGAAATGCTTGCGGATCTGCGTTTTTGAGATTGTTTCCCTGGTCAGAAACACAGCCTACCCAAACAGGTTGTGTACGTGTAGATTGGTTACCACGTGTAAAAGACGTGATCGCTTCTCGGATTAGAATTTAAAATGATGATCTTGTACAATCTAACAGTGGCCGACTCTTTATGACACAAAAACATATGAAGCGCTGAAGCAGGTTTTTCGTGTTAAAAGGATGAGAAAATTTTGTGATCACAAAAAAACACACAAGTGTCAGATAAATGCCAAAAAGGAGACTTTCAAATTTGATAGTCAATTTGTTACAAACATATTACAAATAGTCTTAGTTATAGTGATATAAATGCCTTAAAACTCAGTATATCTGATCGCCCTGAATAAAACTTCCAAACGGACTTAGGACTTAGTATCTCCTACGTAGGACTTACTATCTCCTACGTAGGAGATAGTTATTCTAGTCCATACTAAGTCCTACGTAGGAAATACTAAGTCCTAGGTAGAAGATACTAAGTCTTACGTAGGTGATAATTAGTCCTACGTAGGAGATACTTAGACAAAAAAAATCACCGCGGCCCCGCTACGCTTCCGTACAAACGCTGGGTGAGATTGACCTTAAAAAAAATGTCAGACATGAAACATGATTTGGCTTGCGTGCATATCGGAGAGAGTGTAATCCGCCAATGAAAGAGCAGTTAATTGAGTGATACCATAATCCTTGAACAGCCTAGCTATAATGAGATCCGTATTTGGATTAACAAACGGGATGAGAAGGCTTAGGGATTATCTGGTCATGTGACGACTTAATGAACTACGTCATGCACCATGTATATCTTTGCGGTATAACTGTATTTAAGAGTTAAACACGAATGGGAGTTGTTTATCGAACAATAAAACACTGCAGGGAGAATAATAATTTATTGGGGGATGTCATTTTTTCCTGCAGTGATTTACTCTCCCTTCAGTAATTTATTGTACGATAAACAACTCTCACTTGTTGTATATTTCTTTCGCCATTGCGTTCATCTGCGTTGCCAAGTACCATATACGGGGAACAACTCACTAGACACCTCCCTCTGAAAAAAATAACGTCGTCAAATTTACGACGTCATCAAATTGCGAGCTCATGTTCGAATCTCCAGAAATGACGTCATGATAGAACAATTACCTCACTGACAACGTCGTTTACTTATTGCATATCCAGGTAAAATAACCTCACTGACAACGTCGTTAACTTATTGCATAACCAGGTAAAATAACCTCACTGACAACGTCGTTAACTTATTGCATAACCAGGTAAAATAACCTCACTGACAACGTCGTTAACTTATTGCATATCCCGGTAAAATAACCTCACTGACAACGTCGTTAACTTATTGCATAACCAGGTAAAATAACCTCACTGACAACGTCGTTAACTTATTGCATATCCCGGTAAAATAACCTCACTGACAACGTCGTTTACTTATTGCATATCCAGGTAAAATAACCTCACTGCTAACGTCGTTAACTTATTGCATAATCAGGTAAAATAACCTCACTGACAACGTCGTTAACTTATTGCATAACCAGGTAAAATAACCTCACTGACAACGTCGTTAACTTATTGCATATCAAGGTAAAATAACATCACTGACAACGTCGTTAACTTATTGCATATCCCGGTAAAATAACCTCATTGACAACGTCGTTAACTTATTGCATATCCCGGTAAAATAACATCACTGACAACGTCGTTAACTTATTGCATATCAAGGTAAAATAACATCACTGACAACGTCGTTTACTTATTGCATAACCAGGTAAAATAACCTCACTGACAACGTCGTTAACTTATTGCATATCCCGGTAAAATAACATCACTGACAACGTCGTTAACTTATTGCATATCAAGGTAAAATAACATCACTGACAACGTCGTTAACTTATTGCATATCCCGGTAAAATAACATCACTGACAACGTCGTTAACTTATTGCATAACCAGGTAAAATAACCTCACTGACAACGTCGTTAACTTATTGCATATCCCGGTAAAATAACCTCACTGACAACGTCGTTAACTTATTGCATATCCCGGTAAAATAACCTCACTGACAACGTCGTTAACTTATTGCATAACCAGGTAAAATAACCTCACTGACAACGTCGTTAACTTATTGCATATCCCGGTAAAATAACCTCACTGACAACGTCGTTAACTTATTGCATAACCAGGTAAAATAACCTCACTGACAACGTCGTTAACTTATTGCATAACCAGGTAAAATAACCTCACTGACAACGTCGTTAACTTATTGCATATCCCGGTAAAATAACCTCACTGACAACGTCGTTTACTTATTGCATATCCAGGTAAAATAACCTCACTGCTAACGTCGTTAACTTATTGCATAATCAGGTAAAATAACCTCACTGACAACGTCGTTTACTAATTGCATATCCAGGTAAAATAACCTCACTGACAACGTCGCCTACTTGGTTACCCCTCTATACAGACCACGTGTCGGATCTGCCTCACGTCGATATAATTCGAGGAATTCTTTGATGGAATATTGATGGATTATTATGAATATGTACATTTTCAACTTTTTATACATTTTAACTTCAAAAGCATTAAACATTAACTTCTCGGAACTTCTTACCTGACTGAACATAAATATGAATTTGTACATTTTGAACGGTCATTAACTTTTTTATGCTTAAATACGGTAATGAAATTGATGAGCGGTACTCCTTTGTTCTCTTTTTATTTGCCTGGTACCGGGTGGGCCAAATCCCGTGTCATTGAACCGGGTCTCAGTCCTTACTGGTCCCGGGAACGCCAAGAGGATTTTCCCCCCTAAATATCAAATTTGACACTCCCGGGTCCATACCCTTATAATACACATTCAAGTTCAATTAGAGGATACGTTCCACATGATTGAATGCTTACCGAATACCCGTCTTCCCTTTCCCACAATAGACTCGTCCTGTCAACGAAAATTACAAGACCAGTATAGCAAGAAAGACATATCAACGTATCTGCTTGTCGATATACGCTGAATGTACGGCTGCAGAGTGCTACACATTGGAAATATGTATTTGCTGATTGTAATGGATGTTGAGCACGGTCGGTGACAATCTCAAGTCGTTATCTGCTCATAGTAATCCCCAGATAGAAGGCATAGCAGTGCTTTGTATTATGACTACCCCCAGACCTAGAGCCAGGGGAGAAATTAGTCCAATGCATAAGATTTACAAATAGGAAATTGATCCCGTAACAGAGGTTGACCCAACTACTGCCCCTTCCTTCACAAGTATCGATGCCAGCCTCTACAGACACAGACGAAAGAACCAACCAACATTTCCAACAGCGCTGGCTGAAGTAGACATCCAAGAACAACGGACAACAACGAGAACAACACCCCCTTCCTGGTCGGTGCTGATGACAGATAACTAGTTTTTGCCTCAGATGAAATGTTCCCTGTTGCATGTGTTCTTATGCCTAACAGACAGAGTGAGTGAGTGAGCTTGGTTTTGCGCCGATTTTAGCAGGGGACGCCAGAAATTGGCTTCACACATTGTACCCATGTCGGGAATCGAACCCGGCGTGACGAGCAAACGCTTTAACTACTAGAAATCCTACCTCAATGAGTATAGGCAGCATGAGTGTAGACAGAATGAGTGTAGGCAGAGTGTGTGTAGGCAGAGTGTATGTAGGCAGCATGTATGTAGGCAGCATGAGTGTAGGCAGAATGTGTGTAGGCAGCATGAGTGTAGGCAGCATGAGTGTAGGCAGAATGTGTGTAGGCAGCGTGAGTGTAGGCAGCATGGGTGTAGGCAGAATGTGTGTAGGCAGAGCGTGTGTAGGCAGCATGAGTGTAGGCAGCATGAGTGTAGGCAGAATGTGTGTAGGCAGTATGAGTGTAGGCAGCAGGGGTGTAGGCAGAATGTGTGTAGGCAGAGTGTGTGTAGGCAGCATGAGTGTAGGCAGAATGAGTGTAGGCAGAATGAATGTAGGCAGAATGAGTGTAGGCAGAGTGTGTGTAGGCAGAGTGTGTGTAGGCAGAATGACTGTAGGCAGAATGAGTAGGCAGAGTGTGTGTAGGCAGAGTGTGTGTGGGCAGCATGAGAGTAGGCAGAATGGGTGTAGGCAGAATGAGTGTATGCAGAATGAGTGTAGGCAGCATGAGTGTAGGCAGAATGTGTGTAGGCAGCATGAGTGTAGGCAGAATGAGTGTAGGCAGCATGAGTGTAGGCAGTATGAGTGTATGAGCATGAGCATGAGAAGTCACCGTTAACTTAATGCATATCCTTATGAAATCCTTCTAAACATCCTGCATAAAATAATCATATTGATAACTATTGACGAGTATTCTTGTTTCATTAGCAAGTATACTAAATATAGTTTAAGTCTTCAGCCCACGCGTCTGGCAACGCGCCAGTACATCAGAACCAGTGTATTGATAAAAGGAATACAGCACGGCTAACCAGTTACATGGAACAAACAAAATAACTCTTTGTCCACAATTGAATGTGGAAATAAAACATCCGCGGAATATCACCAACACCAGCTGTTTCAGGTGTTGCGAACCACGGCATTTAATATTTTTGAATATATTATAGACAACACCATTGTTTGCTGTTTTTGAGTTGAAGGTTGTAAAGGGAAGGGGTTAATATGTCACGTGTTGTCGCGCCAAATGTCTTTTCAGTCAATTTTGCGACGGTCGTTCAAGACATTATTTGCATCAATCGAAATCAGCTTAATACCGGGGATTTACAGTTCATGGGGTCCAGTTCCACAAGACGATCTCAGCGCAAAGTCGTACCACAGTCGGAGCTGAGGTC